ATTACTTTTTTTATAATGGAAAAGATAAAGATAAGATTGTTTACTTGTCCAAAAATACTCGAATGTTTAGATAACATTGCAGAACAACGAGTAGCAGCAGGAGTGGCAATCTCTGGTGCGATTAGCACGTCAACTCTAGCAATGGATGTGCTTGCTCTATCTCCTTTGCATTGGCATATAGAGAAAGTGGATAGAACTACCAAATGATCAAAACTGCTCCGACATATTGTACCAATTTGCTGCGGAAGACACTATAAGCACTTATATTGTGCTATCAATTCCGTCGGATTTGACGGGATCACTACCAGTGATTAATGTTCGATACCAGATAGTACTGCCTGAATGGCAGTCTTGGATCGAAAGCGAAAATTCTGTGGTTCAGGCAGATATTTGCATGTGTACAGGCTATCTCAGAAATTATAAGAGATACGAAAAAAGTAGGTGCCATGTCCCGGTCTCTTTTTTCGAGACTAATCCAATCCCGCAAACACCAAACCTCTATCGTCTTTTGTTTTTAAGTTATAGCCAAAAAAGAGTTATAAACACAACTCAAAAACTGAATACTCAACTTCTAAAATACTCAGCTCTTTATAACTCAAAAACCGTGATGACTAGAAAAATTCTACATGCACCATTGGATTCCACGTGAAAAAATCTATTAGAACCCGTTTTTTACTTTCTTACTAAGTTTCCGGATAGCCGAGATACAGGAGGTGTCTGAAAATCGTAAATTTCAAAAACGTGTATATCAAAAACGACGAGGGCTATGAAAATTTGGTTTGCGCCATTGTAAGTTTCACAAAAAAGTAGCTAAGGTTCGCGAAAGCCGCAACTTTCTATCTTTCATAATAACTGAGATACCCTGCAAACCCATCGAAATTTGGACACCCTGTACACTGGCACTTTACAGTAACGAGGAATACGTAGATGTGCTTATTGTTTATGGAGCTGCTAGAGAAAACGTTGCACATGCAAGAGACCTGTATTTGAAACGATTTCCAAATCGGCAGATGCCTTCAGAAAACACTTTTCTTTGGTTAGTCCAACGGGGAAGAGAGACAACCTAAGAAAGGTTTTGGTGGCGGTAGACCAAACATATATGGAGTGTATGTAGAAGAAGAAGTTCTAGAAATTGTTGATGCAGATGCAAGCACTAGTACTCGTCAATTTCTCACCAACTCGATCACTCTGTATATACACCAATCTTAACATGAATTTAGACACAGCCTGTACTCACAACCTCGAAAAAAAAAGATCTGCTAACTTTTAAATCCAAACTAAGGTAAAAGCATCAGTAGTTGACACTGCACTAGTAGTTAACACTTATGAAGAAAAAATAAATTAACAAGAGAAACACAGGCGGCAAAAGATCGAAATATGTTTGTCTATGCAGCATAGTTCTCTAGCTACGTAAATACAGACTATCGTGCCATTAAGTACAGCGCCAGTGGCACAATGATCGTCTGATTACAACGAGTGCATGGTTTTCATTCGCTTCATTATGCTTGTGAAGTTTGCTAAGAATAAGCTGAAAGATAAGCATTGCAAATGTTAACATTATTTTATAATTTTGATTAAAAATACATTTAGTTGTTCGTTTTGGACTCTAAAATATGTATTCATGCTCTAAAATAAAAAATGGCTTTATTAGGCATCGTGTCAACTATTGAAACTTTATATGACATAATATTGAGTAGTTGACATGAGGATGTCAACTTGTGGGTAGTAATATAATTTTATAATACTGCTTTATTTGGGTGTTATGTAGCTGTTTACAGAGCGAAATCTTCTATTATAACTTCTAAAACATTTTAAAACTATCGTGTCCAATAATTGACAGGGGGTGTCAACTATTAGAGTTACAATGTAACTCTAATAGTTGACCCAACTTAACCCAACCCAGACGCTATAACTCTCCCGTTTAACACCAAAGGCGATAATTCAGGCACAAAAGGCGAAGAACGCAGACGGGCTTTAAAAGAAGGGCTTCGGTTTCGCAATCAGAGTATTCCTGGAAGCAAGCTCAATATATTTCGTAACGACAATCGAAATAAAGAGTTGCATGAAAAAGATATATCACTGTTTGAACTATGGCAGAACACGTAACAAGAACTAGAAAGTAGTTTGCTAGATGCACCTGGTCCTACCGATAAAACCATTTTTTATTTTAAAGCATATGTCAACTACTGAAAATAAAGAGTGTCAACTACTAGATATTCTCGCTTTCGCAAAAAATGCATCTTTTATTTATTTGTACAAGTTAGACTATTGTGACATTTTGAGTTACATAATACATTATTTTTTCGACAAGCACATTTGTTTGACTGACATTTAGTCTTACAGTAACATTTTTTGAAACCTTGCCCATGCCCAGTAGATTGACTTGTAGCCACCGATCTAAGAGAAACTTCCTTATCTTTGGTGATTTCTTCAATTTTCAAAATGTTAGCCGGACATATACTAAATTCTGAACGACTGTAGTATTTTGAAATGACTCCTAGTTTTGTACCCAAGCGGTAAAAACCATCTTTTGTAGCTTCTAACACTACCGCTAAAACTGACCGAGCATCTCCCCTGCCACGATCGACATCTGGAACAGGAATCCTCACAGTTGATCCAATCTGTGGTTTTGGATGGGTGCTATCTGATATTAATTTCATCTGTTTTGCTTGTGCTTGTAATCCATCATAAGCGCCCTTTCTGGCATTTGCTATGTTTCTGTTTCTATTGCAAAAATTGCAAATATTTACCAAGGACGTGCTCTCAGCATGTGAGGCATCACGATTAGTGGGATTGAAACAACTACCGCATATTTCATACGAGAGTGTTTGAGTGTTATTGTTATTTTCTAGTGGTACATTTTCGGTCGTTGCTGTTTGGTGCAATTGGGATTGTCCGGTTTGTGTGTTGTCAGTAACAACCAACGTAACCACTTCTTCTAAATCTTTTTCTGTTAAAACACCTTCCAGCGCTGGTTGCTCTGTTTCCAGTTGAACGGTTTCTGTGTTTTCAATCAGAATAGAATTAATCACATTTTCCAGATCTTCTTCGGTTGTTACGCTATCCATTGCTTCTAATGGAATATTAGAAGTTTTTAATCCAATTTTCGGTTTGTCCCCGAACATGGCCTCATATGGAGCCCTTTTTATTCCAGAGTGCAAAGATGTGTTCTTCATAAATTGTATGAATCGTAGACCTTGACTCCAATGCTCTGTTTCGTTTTCCAACATCCAAGTTGTTAACATGTTCTCCACGTCTTGATTAGCGCGTTCGACGCTACCCTGACTTT